TATATATATATATATATATATCACTACAAAATGGTCCTTCATTTATATCCCCTTTTTTGTTTAGTTTTGAGATGGGTATTCCATTGTCATTTAAATATTGTAGATGCATGAATTCAGCAAAATAATCCAATATAGTCCAGAAGTCCATAATAGTAGTGGGTTGTCCATAGGAATGGCAATGTCAGAAGTTGTTGACTTGAGCCTTTTATAGCTCAGCATTTTAATATGGCTTTACTTTTCATACCTCGTTTTTATACTTTTATGCTGGATGGTTAAGACCAAGACAAAGCAAGACATATATAATAAGAAATGTAACTTTTGTGTCTGACAAGGTCAGTCAAATCTCCTCAGAATTTACCCTGAAATTTGTCAGTGTCAGCCATGTGGATGACTCACGGCCATTGCTTGACCAATTTGCTCTCTGTGGAAGCCTGAGAGAATGTTTTATCTCTAGGTGACTCTCCTTAGGCACATTATACATTGTCAATCACTTTCCTCTGTGGCCTTACAATCTCCTTGATCAGAAAATTTGGGACACTACTGAGTTATAGGATGCTACATTACAGGTTCACTTATGTCCTGAGTCCTCACTGACATTGAAAGGCTAGGGCTAAAACGTTGGCTATACTTCTAGCCCTTCTTTTTCTCTAATTTTTGTTCTGAAAACTTAAGTTGTTGATCTTCCAAAAGAGAAGCTTAATGATATTACTTCACTATAACACAGTAAGCCCCTACTTAATGCAAACTTGAATTTAAAGGTTACATTTTAAGACATATCCACAAATTATATAGAAACATATCCTTAATTCCTTTATCCTAGAATATATGAAAATATGAACAATATCCAATGTGCAAGAGTTTACTAACAATGCTGTTAAGAGACCTAAAATATTTTCATTTTATTTTAGTCCATATTTTCGGGGCAGGCTTTAACTATGCATGTCATGTTGGCATCAAACTCACAGAAATCCTCCTGCTTCAGTCTCCTGAGTGCTGAAATTACAAGAGTGTGCTTCCAAGCCAAGAAAGGATATTTTATATCAAGGAAATTGCAGTGGTTTATTTCGTCAGAGACTGAATTTTTCTTGCTGTTTTAGATTCTTTTTTTTTTTTTTGTAAAACTGGGGTTTGAAATGCGACTTTTGTGTGGGCCAGGCAAGTGCTTATTCTACTGAGCTATCTCCCCAGCCCTGCTTTTCTAGATTCTTTGTAACATCATTTCCATCAGCTTTAAGTATTATCTCATATATTTCCATTCCCAAATATATAGGACATGTAGTATACATGTAGCATAAAGAAAGACCAGGATATAATGGCAAGATATAACACTCCTAGTGCTATTCAGTAGTTGTTTGTAACCTGCAAGGTTACCTGTTATTTCAAGGACAAGAAAAGGAGAGAAGATGAATGAAAGAATGATCATTTCAGTACAAATTATCTTATCATTTTTGTTCCTTCCCACTGTATGGTCCTTTTCTGTAATGCTTCTCTCAGAATTAAAAGTTCCTTAATGACATCTTTTTCTGTTAATATATTTAATAAATAGTTCCTAAGCAATTATAAATAAGACACTGTTCTTGACTATAAAATCTGGCAGGGCCCTTTCTGTTCCCTCAAGGGACTTTTTATAAATATTAAAAAAAAACTTAATCATAATTATTTTCTTTGAATTCCCATCAAGGTATTTCAAGGTTAAGAATTTTATAATGACAAAATACTGTGTTTTTTTGTCTTTTTCTGTCTTATGTACTTTTTCAAAGTGCCTTGAAGCAAGGAATTTTAAATTTATTTAATATATAGAATTTCTATATATGATGGTTGCAATTTATTACAGCCCCTATGTTTGTGAATGAAAATTAGTATTTATGATAATTCCTCTTAAATATATAGCTGGTATTCCTAAACCTATTTTATGAAGTAAAGTATTATTTATGGAACGTGGAAATCAGGAGTGCTTCACATCATTGATACTTATTTTCAATATTCTCTGGCCATTTTCTGATTAGTGGAGCCAGAAACCATCTTAATGTATAAATAAGCGATGTAGAAGGATTAGGCCCAATCATTACACCATTTTTATCTTTAAATTCTCAGTTAGAAAATGTTACTGCATAAAAAGTTTGGCATTTTTTGAATGCAGAAACTCTTGGCACATACACACAATAAAATTCAAATACTTTTCTTAAAGTATTCAATGTTGAGAGGCAGTTCATAAAAATATCTGTTCTAGCCTTTTCCAAATTTTTTGTCAAGTGAAGGTTCTCATGAAAAAAGAGTTCCATGATCAAATGACACTCAACCAACTTCACAGTCAGAGGCTAAGAGTAATATCAAGGAGTAAATGTTCCTAGATTTCTCAACTCAAATAAATTTATACATAAGGATGATTTCTTTTTTTCACTAAACAAAACAATAGGAGTTTGAAGAAGGTTCTTGCTTTACATAATATATGTAATATATCTATTCAAATTAGTTGATTAGATTAGAGGATATAAACATGCTGTTTTAGTTACTGTTCTCTCATTGCTGGGACAAATACGCAACACTCAAAATGAAGTAAGGAAAGGTTTATTTAGCTCACAGTTACTGAAGGTTTCAGTCCATACTCATCTGGTTCCAATGCAGAGCAGCACATAGCAGAAAGCAACCTTTTCATGGTGGCAGCAAAGAGCAAGAGTGCAAGAGAGGGGTAGCAGCAGCTCAAGTAGCTAGCTTCTCTTCCCACCTTACATTGTAATGCAAATTACCTGCCCCAGGGCAGGTGCAGCAACCACACCCACAGCAATCAATCACAAACTCCAGAAGTCCCCCAAGACTGCATGAGGCTTTGGGGGGACACCTAGGCACAAACCATAACAC